TTAAACGCGCGATAACCTATATATCCCATATTCACGCGGGCGAAGCCGCGAGCTAAAAGCTAGTCTCTAAATAAAAACATTTATAATGTTGTTGACTTTTCACCCAAACACGCATAATTATTTGACATAACTGTACAGTAATGAAAGTCCAACGAGTATAATAACAGAATAGCTGCAATTTAGAAATATCTGTATTATGTAAAATAAAATAAAATTGGATAAAATATCCCTAAACATTAAGGAATATAATTTATATATAATTTGGTAATTTATTTACAATCCACATTGCATACTAGATGATATACACTATATAACACAAGACAAATGTACGTAAAAATAATAATGGTATTTTTATAAACAATAACCCTATTTTAATTTAGAAAAAAAACTACAAAATAAACATAGAGTAAAATTGGTTTACATTTTCTTACATTTTTCTCTCAGATAAGCGTTATTTTAAAAAATACTAAAATGTTCTCTTTTTTAATTTTAACAATTAATTGCCATTAGTGTGACGAAATACCATGCTCTTGTGCTTTTCATAGTCCAGCAGGGTAGGTAGGTTTTATTTGTAGCATAACTGTACTTTTGTCTTGGCATGCTAAAATAAATATTATATATATATATATTTAACAACAACTTTAAATTAATATTCGTAGAAATAAGTATATATTAGCAAAATTAATTAAATATTACTTAAATTATCAAAATGGTTTAGTCGCTCTATACTAATGTTCACTGACGAATGTCTTATCTTAGCGGTGTTGTAAAAAATGGCATAGGTCCTACCTCGACGAGCGCTAGCGCAGCACTGAGAATTTACTTTTGGCGCAACGGAATTTATACAACTTTAAATTATTATTATTGTTTATTTTTTTCTTAGAAACTTATTTTTTTTTTCATATTTCTAATTTACAAGTATATTCACTTTATTATTATGTTTTTTTTATGCAAAAATTTCGTTGTATTTATGAGAAAATTAGAAATGATTATGGCAAAGTTTTGTTGAAATTTCGGGTTTAATTATGATCAATTTTTTAGATATTTAAGTTGAAAATGAAAAAAAGGACGATGCTGTCTCAATTTATAAAGTAATTATCAAGTTTTAGTACAGATATCATATCAATTTATGTTTGTTTATTAATGAACGACGACCCCAAACTTCTGTCATTTAGCGTTTTTGAATAAACTATTTTAGAAATTAGGAAGACTAACAAAGAGAAAATTAACATTTCAAAGATGTTGTTTTTAAGATTAGATATCTATCTATATAATTCAGGAATCAAAATGTATATCCGACTCTTAATTTCTTAGAACCAGAACCCCAAAGACACTGCTTTTAGGCCAAAAAATGTGAAAGGCCTCTTAACTTGGGGCTAAATGGCGCTGTTGTCCACAGTTATTATTATTATATACTTTCCTTAGCGACTGATTGCGAACTCAGTAATATATATACCTAATAAGTATTTGATCTCGCTTAGCATTATACATGAATGGGATTTTTTTTTTTTAAATGTTTATATATATTATGGGAAAGGTCGGCTGATGTAAAATTAATTTTTATATTACAAAAAAGAACAATTCGTTCAACATATAATTTACCGTGTCGCGAATCTCTTAGAGAACGCTTTAAAGAACACAGGTATCCTACTGTTCCCTCTCAATATATATATATGAAATATATTTCATATATATATATATATATGAAAATATTATGTACGTACGTAAAAACTTAAATTTATTTACAAAGAATAGTCACTTACACGCTTTTAATACAAGGAATAAAAATAAATTAAATATGCCTAGTTTTCGTCTCAGAAAAGTAAGTACATCTTTCATGGGACATTGTATACGTTTTTATAATAAATTGGCAGATAATGTTTTAAATTTAAGTGAAAGGAAATTTAAGATACATGTAAAAAATACACTTTGCGCTGAAGCTAAAATAAACGACTACTTGAATGACTGCAATGCGTGAACTTCATTACAATTAACTTTTGTTAAAATTGTAATATAACTTTCCCATTGGCAAAATTATCAATGTATTTAACGTCAGATAAACTTATTATAAATTTATTCATGACATATTGTGATTTAAATAATGTAAATCAAATATTGTAATGGGGGAAAAGTGTGATTGTTATAGCCTATGCTGTAAATACTATAAATGACGTAGTGGAATAACTTGAAACAGTCATGTTCGCTATAAAGTTCAAACTTGTGACAGCGGGCATGGTGAACCGGGTCGATGTGCTTTCTCTAATATGGTTGAGTGCAATGATGGCTGGCTCATCAGTCATACTCCTGAACGGTTGCTGCTTATGTGGGCTGGTCTGTTTGGGTTGGGAACACTGATTAGACTATTTGGTTTTGCAATAACATATGCTGGTGGTCACTCTATTCTCCCAAGATTAAATTTAAAAATGAATCTGTATTATTGTAAACATGTATAACATTAATTTGAAAAGAATACAAACTGAGTTTCTTTTCAGTTCTTTTCATCTCGATATCATTCCTAGATAGGTAGATTTGACATATCATAAGAGTCTGTAATAACCTAGATCAATAATGATATTTTGAATTTGAATTTTTGAATTTGCATTTATATATTTTAAAGAATCGGAAACCAAATGTGTATTTTGGTACGATAATTATTTACTTAAATTAAACAAACCGTCATACTGCCTACACTCACGAAATCAGATATGAATACGCGGAAAAATGTTTGTTATGTACCTACTTACTTAACTTTACTTAGTTTTATTAAAATTTGTTTAGAGAATATAAATAATATAAAATATTGCATTATTTTTAAATAACAAATCTAGAAAAGATTACTTTAATGAACATCTTAAATTTCTATTAATAATATTTCTCTTTCTAATTAGAAACACATCATTAGAAATTAAAATTTTGTAATATACATCCACATTCATATGTAATACTTTTTTCAAAATATTCTCTTCATTCCTTTATATGAATATTAAAAATCAATCAATGCTATAAATAATCCCTACTTGCCAAATTCAAGTCAATACCAAACTTAGTAAAATTTATACAGGTCTAATTAATAGACTCAATCTTTCATTTTTTTATTTTTTATACATATGTTTACGAACATATGAAAGTGTTTAAGATAGCTGTAAACGCCAGCTACAGCCAACAGCATCAGAGTAGTGTGAAAGAAACTCTTTTGTATTTATAAGTTTTTCATTTGATGTTAGACATAGACACTTATATAAGTAGACAATGTAAATAAACTGGCTTTTAAAAAAAGAAATTCAGTTGAGTTTCTTGTCAGCTCCTTTTAATCTTTAAACAGAACCGGACGGTAGGAGAAAATTATGTCAATTCAAAAACTTGACGTTCATAAGCGAATAAAATGTCCTACATGAATTAATGATTTTTGATTTTATTTGATTTTGCATTTCTCTTGATATTGTGCTATTGATGTAAAACTAACTAGTTTGTAATTGTCTCGTGGAATTGCGTGAAAGTATGCGCGGTTCGCCGGCAGCGGTGTTTATTGTATTGCGATAGTACACCTAACAATGCCGTAGTTTATAATACGACTTTGAATACAAAGCAGGGACCTTGAATATTATATTAGCTGTTAGGGTTTCGCACCACGAAGGTACAAATGGAGCCCTTAATCCTGATATTCATAATGTATCCAAACTCAAGTTATTACAATTACAATTTACTATCATATCTCATTAACTACGTTATGTTTACAAGCTGAATGCATATGTTTGATTCAAATCAAATCAAATGAAAATATCTTTATTCATGTATGTCTATCATAGACTCTTATGATATCTCAGTTCTACCGTCAGTTCGAAATGCTGTCGAGATGAGAACAACTAATAAGAAACTCGGCTCGTATTCTTTCAATTATTATATATAGTAAATTTAAACTGTAGTAATATTATTCTATGTGTCTGTCTGTCTATTTGACTGTGTGCTGTTTGTTACGTTTTTACGAACCAACTAAATGGATGGACCGAAATTTGAGATAATGACTAATGGTGACAAGTATGCTTTATTTAAAAAAAGTAGAAGACGTCACGGGTGTCGAATAGTAAATAATAAAAAAAATATATTACAGGAAGACAGAAAAAAAGATAAAATCGCTACTAGTAGAAATCAATCCCTTAGCGGTGCCCTACGACTAAAGTCGTATCCGTCAGGCGAATGTCATAAGCACTCACCCCCTATGATGCTGTAAAACGGCCAACAACATTAGAGTAGGCCGAAAAAAACTCTTGTATTTATAAGTTTCTCGTTTCACTTTTGTATACATACCTATATTTAGATATGAATTTTGAAACGCAATTCTGCAACAAATCTAATCGCGTTAATTACATTGATGTGTCATTATCATAATAGTTGAATAGTGAAGGAGAGCAAGAATGTTAATATTTGTTTTAAATATTTATAAAAATTTATTAAATCAATAAAAAAAGTTTACACACACTACCATATATTTGACACACTCTTTTGTTTAGTGTTAAAGTCTCAGATCAAATTGGGAATAGATTAAAATAGTTTGTTTTTATTTGTATAGTCTTACTGAATCTCAAATATATAAATAACAGAAAGTAATCATTTGTATGTATTTTTTCTTAACAATCAGTCAATAAATATGTAATATATAAATATTGTAAAAGCCAAATACTGTATTTTGTGTGCGTTAAAATACTGTCTAAATAATATATGTAGGTACTTATTAAATAAGAGAGAATTATGTCCCCGCAAAGAAACCCCGACAGAAGTTTTGCAGGTAATTGTAAACATTGTAAAATAAAAAAAATAACGATTTTTATCTATCTGATAAGGTTATCTTATAAATACTTTGCCGACATTTCTACTATATACATTAATCATTTGAATGTATTAACTAACGCCCGCTTGCAAGACTTGTGCAAATTTCTAAAACTTCAGAGTGTATTCTGTTTATTTTTCTAAAAATAAGAAATACATCCCAGAAAATAAGAAAAATGGCCAGACCCTTCAGCTGTATTGAGATGATTACAGAAAACGGATATAACGATGACTTCCCGTTCAGATGCATAACGCAAGAGGAGATTGTTAGTGATTGCGACAATAGATTTTTGGAAAGATCATTAAGTAGTATAAGGACGATGAGAATAGGTTCTGATTATTACAAAATGAACCACCAGCGACGCGGCATTGCTGTTATATTCAACCATGAGGTTTTTGATGACTACCTTAATTTAAACAACCACATTGGAGCCAACGATGTTAAAAATTTGAATACAGTTTTAAAAGAATTGGACTTCGAAGTCATTGTTCATCATAATTTTCAATTCCACGAGCTTAAAGGGCGATTAATTGAAATGGCCAAAAACGATTACTCGAACGACGATTGTTTATTGATTATAATACTGACTTATGGCGATAATGGGTTTCTATATGCTCGAGACACTTTATACAGACCGGAAACACTTTGGTATAATTTCACAAGAAATAAATGTCCGTCACTAGCTGGAAAACCGAAACTTTTTTTTATACAAGCATATAAAGATGATAAACATAATATAGGTACTATTAATGAGAAAATATGTGAAATTCCGGTTCAACAAGATTTCTTGATTTTGTTTTCGACACTACCACAGAATGTATTTGGTAGAAATTCCAACAACGGCTCGAGGTTTATAGAGGTACTGTGTAAACAGCTACGTACACTTGCAACTAAAACAGATATCCTGCATATTTTGACATTAGTCAGTAAGAAAGTTGCTATTGCGTACGATACAAACAGGCGTAATGATCAATTTAATTATCAATGGAAAGTTCCTTGTGTGAGTAGCACGTTGACACGACTCCTGGTTTTCGAGAAGAAAAACAAGAAGGTTTCGTTTCCTTGGACCAAAAAGTAATTATCAGTCAGTCAATATCGTCTTACATGTGTTATACCTACATGTAGGATGTAAAAGTACTAAACATTGTTTGTTAAGTTTAATGTATTCGTGTTAAACTATGTAATTGAATTGTTTACTCGATTCTTTTTCTTTATTATAGTTTAGCTTTTAATTGATATCTGTGCGAAAATTATTACAAAAAACTGAACCATCGAATTACATACATGTGCCAGCGTTCAATCACTGCCATTACATAGTACCAGAGAGCGTTGCATCTACGGCAATGCTGACCAGACTACGATACCATTACCGCTCGCCAGTACCACTCCCCGCTGGCACCGCTGCGACCAACCTGGAGAGAGCACTTACGTACAATCAATGTTCAGGATCACTGTAAATTTAATTATAAGTATCAATATTCATTTTTTTAACTGCCCCGGCAGCGACTTACATAATTATCATCAAAATAAAAGAAGTTTGCTAACGCTGGTTTAATTTCATAAGTTTTGAACCTTTTACTAAAATACCATCCGGATTATCTGGATGAATGGTAGGCCTCTACTGTGGCTTCTCCAATAAGTTTTGCCACGCACAATCACATTATGGAATCATCTTCTAGCAATGATATTTCCGAACCGATATGATATTGAAACCTTCAAGAAAAGCATTTCTTCTTAAAAGGCCGTCAACGCAATTACAATTCTCCTGGTTTTGCCGATGCTCATGGGCGGCGGTAATCACTTGCCATTAGGTGAGTCATAACCTCCTTTGTCCTCTATGCTATAAAAAGAAAACCTGACCTTATGACTTTACGAGTAAGTCCGTAGAGTATAAAATAGTATTATTTGCTGTTTAATTCATTATCTATTAATTTCAGTTGAATGTCATTCAACTGAATGACATGTAATCGGTCTGCCAATTACAATCGATTACAGTAATGATATATTTGAAAATTTCAAAGGTTCAATGTCACCGTGTTTCATTAGCTTAAAATGCTTACAGCATTATAAACAATTATAATTATGAGTAACCAGTATTTACTAAAATAACTTTAAATTTAATGATGTAACTTCACTTCACTTTTAAGTGAAGGATGGTTTTAACCATTGAGTTGTATATTTATTAATTAATTTATTAATATGTAAAGTATTTTAATAACAGGTTTTACAAAATTTTACATAATTTAAAAATAATCTGTTGAAATCGATTTTATTTTCTATACCATATTTTTCTATTCTATGTAACTTGTAAATTAAGATATCATGGATTTTTATTGGATCAATGTATTGATATTTGCTAATGTAAGAACCTCTATAGATAACTACTATAAAAATAACAGTTCACTGAATGATTACTTATATGACAAATGTGCATGGCAATAGTAGTTTTAATGCAATGTTAAATATAGACTTCTAAATAAGTAGAAAAATTTAAGAAAATTACTTTAAAAAAATCTTTGAAACTTCTTGTCAGGTCTTCTCAATGGAATTTGTAGACTACAATGGACGGTAGGGAAAAATATTAATACAATAAACATGACTTCGATATTATGATTATAATGTCCTGCATAAATAAATGGTTGTTGTTAAAGTAAGTAAACAAAAAATATATAAATATTTTTATAATCATAGCGCATGAAACCTCTTTTTGTATAAAAACCATAAAATGGTGGTAATTAAAAATTAATAAAAAACTTCTTTTTTTCTATCAACAAGGTCTATCATTTATTATTAAATTTATTGATTTTAAATGCATTAAAAATAGATCACAGCTAGAAATACAAATACATAACGAAATAAAAAAACAGTTCAATTAAAAAAAAATATTTCAAACATCAAAATGTCGACATGCAATCTTGCGTGAAATTCTTGCGAATATACTGGCGTGTCATTATTATTATAATTGTTTTGTTTTATTACATAGTTTTCTTTTAGATCCATAATATTATTTTTGTATAACTGGAATGACAAAATTTATTACTTACCTAATAGTAAGTGGTAACCATCATCCCTACATACACATGAATAGCATCAGAAGGTCAACAGAGGTGATATCATCATGTAACGCCAGTGGCTTAACTCATACGTTCATATATTATGCCTTCATAGATGTCATGCTCCCATATCTTGTAATTTTACTGCCTTCAATAGAAACACATATTTGCGGAATCAATTTATAGTTTCCCAGTATCGTGCATGAACAGTTACACGTCGCGACGCCTATTCGTACAGCTGAAAACCAACATATTTGTATATTTACGCACCACGAAAAGAATAAACATTATTGTATTTCAAGAAGCAGTAAATATTTTCGCTTATTTCACTTTTGTTTGCTTGTTTTTTTTTGTTTCCTACTAAGTTTTAGTTATGGAGCTTTAACATGATATTTAGTTTTAAAGCGGATTGGAGTTCCCCGGGTTAGCTAATTTTTAATATATGAGGCATTGGTAAACTTTTCAACTACCTTATAAGAACAAAAGTATCAATTTGACTCAATTATTCATAATCTTTATCAAATCTAATCGCTTTTCAAATTATTACACCTATTCAAGTTAATACACATACTAATTATGCTTATTAAAGTTACATAAATCATAATATTGTAGAATCGTAACTTCTGTTTTATAATACTGCTTAAAACGTAAACCATAAACTATAACTAGGTATGATTTGTTTTATGTGCCCAATACCATAACCTAAGAAAATAATTCTGAATTAATTCTCCAGCTAGGGGGTGAGAGGGTTGTTCGTAATAGCTGCCAAGTTGGATTAAGTCACAGCTAGCGGAAGATTAGCATATCAAATGTTACCATTAATACGATGTCCACAGTTTGTTGTGCCCGTTGTGATAGTCAAACTCATTGTAACTATTTCCATTTTGTGGGTCGCCTCACACATGTAAAGATATATTATCCTCAAATGTGTTAAAGAAACTAATTAACATGACCGTGGATGGATGAAAAAGGAGAGAACGAAAAAAAGATGGGATTGTGGGAAAGATGATTTGCATAAAAGAATCGAAGCACAGATTTGATGGCAGATAAAAAGTTGTGCAAGAAGATGGCCAACTGCGCCTTTCTCAAATAATGGGATGAAAGCAGAAAATGATGATACTATTCTTAAAGCTACAAATTTTCAAAAATAATATACTTGATGGAAAATCGGTAGGTTTGAAAATAGCCTTTTGGCTGTAGGTTGAAAACTAAATAGTAATATCGCATGTCGGCATTATGAATTCACAGCAGGAGTATGGAGTTCAGTTTTTACATAGGAAAACAATTATAAGCCCTCGAGGATTGCATGTTTCTTTATATACATTCTGTTTACTATAACAGAAAAGAAAATGTATATTTAAATACGCGTGACATGGACCATATTTTTGACGAAGGTTTATGGAGACAAACAGACAAAATAATCTTGGTACAAAACAATACTTTTGTACAGTTAATGCGAATAGTTTCATTTTATGTATTAGTAGTCTAATCCGTGGAAGCTTTTGAAATGAGGTGTTGGAAGGAATTAGCTGGAAAGATAAAATAAGAAATGAAGAAGTACTGCAAATTGTCAAAGAAAAGAGACAGCTCATAAATATTATTCAGAATAGACAGAGAAAATGTTGGTTCATTTAATTCAACACGACGAAGTTATGAATAATATTCTCGACGAAAAAATAGAAGGAAAGAGAGGAAGGGCAAAACTAAGACCCAGCTATGTCAAGTAGATTAAGGAAAAAGTTGAAGTCGAGTTGTATCAATAACTAAAGAGATTAATGGAAGATCGTGGAAAATGGCAAGAGCTCCACCGACAAGAGCGCAGTTCTTAAATTATGAATTAATGAAATCTCATCTCTCTCAAATCTCAACCGTTTGGATTCCAAATACGGTTGAGATCCATCAATAACTATTCATTTTGATAAATATGAGTCAAAATATGCAATAAAGAAAGTCGAGAAAACATTTTAAAAACTCTACCTACTATTTTGTTAAATGATTTATGAATAAAATCATAGTGTAGATAAATAAAATGGGTACTAGACAACTAATATAAATACTTAGACATATTTTTTTTATAAATACATATATAATATAGATAGAAAACACCTAGACCGATACAAACAATAATAGTTATGAATACAAATGTTTGCACCGTGCGAGGAATCGATCCCGCGACCATCGGAAGTAAAGCGGTGTGCTAAACCGCAAGACCACCGAAGCCGTCCGTTGAGATGGCATCGTAACTTTATTCAATATTATACTTATTATCACCATCTATAGATGACAAATTGTCATCCACAGATGGTAATAATAACTATCATATAGTGATATCTACGAGTACATAGTGATTTACAAATGTACACGAAGTCGCGGGTCAGTCTATAGTCTATTTTTTAATCCCGGAGACTAAATTGTCAGGTATAAATGTCAAATTTCCAAATAATGGTACCACATGTAACAGAGTAGGGCTGTACCTCCTATACCGATTTGTAGTTTTGAAAGTTTTTATTTCAGAACTCATATTTGTTTTGTAGCTTTATACGACATTTCCACAACATATATTTAACATTTACGCACGTATATTAATATTTCCATTACTGTCGTTGTATAACACAAAAATACATTTTTGTGTTTTCCGTACACATAGTAATTATTACCGGATATATGCTACAAACCTACAATTCTTTTCTTTCTAACAGCTAAATATTTTAAATAGGTGAATGAAATATGACACATACACCTGTTTCATGGAATGTGACACATAAGAAGGATATTTGGTTTATTCATTGTATTTGTTTTAGTGAACTTTAGTAATTTTGTTGTAATGCGTTTTAAATATTCACCCACGCAGTATTTCTGAGTAACCTATAAAAATGGGTAATTATTATTAATCTCCGATACTAATCCCTATTTAAAAATTGTAAGAAGCTGGCAACATAGGTAATGTTAAATTTACCAACGGGATTAAAAATCACACTCTTGTCTATGCTAATATTGTCAAAAGCTAAAGTTGTGAGAGTTGTAG